AGAACATCGACCAGGATGAAGCTGGTGAGAGCGAAGCCTGTAAGTATTTGGCCTCCAGTTAGAATAAGAATAGAATAGAGCTGGAAGGGACCTCGGAGGTCTTCTAGTCCAGCCCCCTGCTCAATGCAGGTGCTCTGTCGGACCATTCGGAAGTGGATAATTGGTGTAAACTTTCCCCTTCCAGATGGTGTACAGCCTCATAGTTTTTTCTTCTCAACTTTGGAAGGCATAAACGTGTTTCTGAACATGTGCAAAGTTTTGAATCCTGGAATTTTGCCTTTCTTTTTACAATGGCACAGAAAAACGTGATGTCCTTTTTCACACTTAACAACAGTTGTAGCACGTGATTTACATTCTTGACAACTGACTCACATTTACGACGGTTGCAGTGTCCCGGAGTCCAGTGTTCCTCTTTTTGCGACCTTCTGGAGACCCAGATTCACTCAAGCACCTTGTTCCTCATTTAACAACTGCAAGTGGTTCACTTAACAATGGTGGAAGAAAAGTCGTAAAAGCGTGAGGGGGAGGGAATTTACTTAAGGCATGTCTCGCTTAGGAACTGACATTTTTGGTGCAATTGTGGTCGTAAGTCGAGGACCTGTAAAGTCCAGGTTGAAGATAACCAGGTCTTTTGGTGAAAGTTTCAAAATACTAAGGTAAAGGTTCCCCTTACACATACGTGCTAGTCGTTCCTGACTCTAGGGGGCGGTGCTCATCTCCGTTTCAAAGCCGAAGAGCCAGCGCTGTCTGAAAACGTCTCCGTGGTCATGTGGCCGGCATGACTCAATGCCGAAGGCGCACGGAACGCTGTTCCCTTCCCACCAAAGGTGGTCCCAATTTTTCTATTTGCATTTTTTACGTGCTTTCGAACTGCTAGGTTGGCAGAAGCTGGGACAAGTCACGGGAGCTTACTCCGTTACGCGGCGCTAGGGATTCGAACCGCCGAACTGCCGGCCTTTCTGATTGACAAGCTGAGCGTCTTAGCCACTGAGCCACCATGTCCCTTCAAAATACTTATTTCAGTGAATTCTTTTCTTTTTTTTAAAATTCACCCACAGTGTTGGAAGCCGCTCCTTTGCAACGCCATTTCTTTAACAAACTCCTGGAGACTTGTGGCAAATGGCAGAAAGAGCTTCCCGCCCTGAAGCCGTCGAAGCACAACCTTCAGATTTCGATCCACACAACCCGTAATACTCGACGGAAGATGGAGGATAGACATGTCTCCCTGCCGGAATTTAATCAACTGTTTGGCCTGGAGGTGAGTTTCTAGGAGAAGTTGGAGAGGACACGCCGGTAGAAAAATGGCCCTCCATGATCACGCTAACGTATTTTGGATCTGCAGCCTCTGATCTTTCAGGTTCTCGATACTTTCTCAGCTTGGTTGTTTTCTTGCAGACGTTTCATTATCCAACTAGGTAACATCATCAGTATAGTGATGGTAGTTTGGTAATGAAATCTCTACAAGGAAAGCTCAGAGCACCAAGGATCCCACTGTCCGTCTGTCCTTCCTTCCTTCTTTCCTTCCTTCCTTCCACTCATTCTCATCTCCTTCGTTTCTTCGTTCCTTCCTTTATTTCTTTCTTCCTCTCATTCTCCTTCCTTCCTTTCTTTTTTTCTTCCTCTCATTCTCATTTCCCTCCTTCCTACCTTCCTTCCACTCATTCTCATCTCCTTCCTTCCTTTTTTTCTTCCTCTCATTCTCATCTCCTTCCTTCCTTCCTTCCTTTCTTCCTTCCTTCCTTTATTTTTTTCTTCCTCTCATTCTCATCCCCTTCCTTCCTTCCTTCCTCTTCTCCTTTCCACAAACTTCACTCCCTTCTAGCACTGATGATATTACCTAGTTGGGTAATGAAACATCTGCAAGAAAACAAGCTCATAGAGCAGCAGGGACCACACAATCCTCTTTCTCCTCTTCCTCTTCCTCCTCTTTCTCCTCCTCCTCTCTTCAAGCCCCACTCTCTTCTAGCACTGATGATATTACCTAGTTGGGTAATGAAACATCTGCAAGAAAACAACAAGCTCAGAGAGCACCAGGGAGCCCACAATCCTCTTTCTCCTCCTCCTCCTCCTCTTACTCCTCTTCCTCTCTTTCTCCTCCTCCTCCTCTCTTCAAGCCCCACTCTCTTCTAGCACTGATGATGTTACCTAGTTGGGTAATGAAACATCTGCAAGAAAACAAGCTCATAGAGCAGCAGGGACCCCACAATCCTCCTCCTCTTCTCCACAAGCACTCATGATGTTACCTAGTTGGGTAATGAAATATCTTCAAGAAAACACCCAAGCACAGAGAGCACCAAGGACCCTGCAGTTCATCTGAATGAACTGGGCTTTGTTGTTGGAAAATGTGTGTGTGTGTGTGTGAGAGAGAGAGAGAGAGAGAGACAGACAGACAGACAGACAGACAGACAGACAGACAGACAGACAAGAGACAGAGAAAGACTTCATTTCTCTCCAAAAGAGACTTCTTTTAAGCTTGGGTCAACCCACCCGTTTTATTCTTTTCTTCCATCTTTGCTCATCCTTGCCGCCGAAAGGATGGCGTAGATCGGGCCTACTTTGCCGTCTACGATGGTCACGCAGGGATCGAGGCCGCTAATTATGCTGCTGCCCATTTGCATGCCAACTTGGCGCATCACGAGAAGCTTCTGGAAAGCCCGGCGGAAGCGCTGAGAGATTCCTTCCAGAAGACGGACGAGATGTTTCTCTCGAGAGCCAGGAGAGAGGTGAGTGGGGTAGAAGGCTTGAAGGGACCAAATGCCGATTGATCGG